CGATAACTGGCCTTTGGGTGTAGTCATAGAGGCCACACGGAACCAGACGGATTAGTAAGAATACTAAAATTGGAAACATCTGCATGTGAACAGGTGCGCGACATTCAAAAGAATGTTTATTGGAGGGAGATGAATACCATGCAGTTACTTGATGAAATTGTGAAGACCCGCCGTGCATTATATATACTTCCATGCCCCCTTGTACCAAATGCGCCCCAGTGCCATTCATTCCACCTGAGCGAACCCATGCCTCCACGTCCTTACCATACGTCTTCTCTATTCCATTTTAATGACTAAGTGTCTATTTATTTTGGCTGGTATACAATTTATAACATGAACCTCGGAGGTGTGACCCATGTCCTCACAACACTCATTCATTCACATGCACACCATCACCTACATGCTGAACCTGATTTCATTTGTAAACACGAACAAAAGCCACACCATCCACATGTACCCCCTTGTTTACACATCGAGACCTTATCTGAAATGATCTACATTTGACCCACTGTTATCCTTATAATAATAATAACGGTATATTTCGCGAAGACCGCGAAACATGCTAGTGCGCGTGATTAAAATCTACAACAATGTGAAAATCAACGGTGGAGACAAAAAGTATTGGTACAAAAAGTGTAGGAACATAATTTTCAAACAGGTACGTAAAATATCGTAAATGTGCCTTGCGTTGAAAACAAAACACAAGGCGGACAAGGTCATAAAATGGAGTATTGGGGTGATCTCTTATTTAATGCACATCATTGTGAATGTTTGTCTTATGAAAAGTAAGGGCAAGGCAGAAAATTGGAAGTTGGAACATCCGCTCGGGAGAGAGTGCGCGGAAACGAGTTCAAAGAACAGGATGAGAATAGCTAAGAAAAAGGATTCATAAATTCAGAGGCAGAGCTGCAATCAAGCTGAAGGAAAGTACAGTAATTCAAGAAGAGACGACAGATGGCTTATAAATAAACTGTTTCAAATGTCGATACAGTTGGAAGGACTTCTGTGATCACGGAACAATGGGCTTCGGGGCTTCACCGTTAAGGGACGGATTGGCTTCTATTTATAATACTGATGAGTTGGTCGATTTGATGTGGGACTGGTTACACGCTAGACACCCAACCTTAAAACACCTTGTGTGTGTGGGGTGTGTGTGATCCTCAACCTGGTCCGGAATGCGAACGCACGTAGTCAAAAACGGTGGATATAACCGCACCCAATAATCATTGCCGGAGCCAAATTTTCCGTTGTAGGTGTAGACCCCAAGCCTTCGGCAGGCCCAAGCCAACTGAATCTGAAACAGAAAGTCGAAACTCAGCAGTCTGGGTTAACACCCAGCTAAGAAGGGAAGAGGGGAACAACATGTTACGAAAGAATATGCAGAGAGTGTAAGTGCCCGAAAGTATATATATTTAAAAGGAAAGTGCGCACAAAACACGCAGGTCAAAAAGATAAAGATATGAAGCCAACCAGACGATTCAACACAACAGGACGGAACTATAATGTTAGGAATTAAGATTGACAAATCTAGTGTAGGTTTACCCCTGAAAGGTTTGGGTTCCACTGATCTAGCTTTCACGCTCGACGAGTGAACTGGAGAGAGGTTGAAAGGTGAACACCAATGCATGCTCAGCTTGTGCCACGGAGAAGAGATAGCTCGGAGGGATCGACAAGGAAGAACGGGCCAGAAATTTGAGAATTATGGAGGACAAACGTTGTGCAATTATTCGAATAAAAGAAACGTGTAGCACTAATCCAGCTTTGGAGCTCGACCAGTGGACCGACTAAAGCTCAGCTGCTGCATCAGAATGTGTCACAGGGAAAAAGAAGCTTAGAGGTGACCTGAGGGTAGAAAGTTTAGTCAGGTAAGGTGTTTGAGTGCTGTAGTCTGAAAAGACAATCGCCATGAGGTTTCCATTCCACTTCTTAAGTTTTTAAACTCAAGAAGTGTACTATGTATGACGAGAGGTTAAGTCAGGATGCCATTTGTGAAGAATCATCGAATAGATATCGTGTGATTGGCTACGAGCTTGCTGATGCAGAGAGCCGATCTCATGCAAATCATCGGAGGTCGAGATCGACGAATGCGGCNAAGGTTGAACAGTTCGTAGTTGGAAGCACTGAAAGCAGGGACTAGGTAGGTAAATAGATAAGCAAGAATCAGTGACCTGCGCCAACCCATTGACTCAGATGAGAGCAGGAAGGATATTGGCGGCCCGTGTATTTCATTTTCTTTTTCTTTGAAAATCCTTCCAAACTCACGATGATTCTATGTGACATAACTCGATCCGTGTGTTGCTTTTCTATTGACATTTCTCAATCACGAACACCCCATATTATTCTTTATCTGTTGATTCGATGCCCGCCACATTTCAATTTGGCGTGGTCAGAGAAAGTGATAGAATTGTTGACTCTCTCTGGATATCATATTTGGTTCTCGCTTGCTTGAGTACTTCTGGCCGCCAGTTTGAAGTTTGCTCTATTGTACATTGTGCAAGGATTTTCCAAATTCAGTACCATAGAACACCACGATTGCACACCGCCAATAGGATCCTTTTCACAGACCTTTTGATACGTTCCCACACCCCGCCTGTGTGGTTAGCGTACGGTGGGTTAAAGTGCCAAGAAATATTTTGTGAGGGCAATCACTCATTTAATTCACCCTGGTCGACTCGGGACAGCCACCTTTGTAACTCATTAGAAGCACCCACGAAGTTTGAACCGTTGTCGGAATAGGTGCTGTTCGGGACTCCGCTCCTGCCGATCAGCCTTTGAATCGCCATTAGGAACGATTCAGTAGACGTGCTATGCACCATCTCCAAATGCACTGCGTAAGACTGCATGCATCCATTTCGCTTCCCGACTGATCGCCCGTAATGCACTACCAGGGGCCCGAAGTAGTCCACTCCCGTCTCCGCGAATGGCCACCCGCCCGCTCGAACCCAGAATTCGGGTAGGGAGGCCATCGATTGCCTTCCGGTTGCCGCATTCTGACGGCAAGAAAACATACATCTACCGATCGCCCATTTTATTGCGGTCCCAGCGCGTCTTATCTATAACCTTTCCCGAATGGCGTTCAAAATATAGTTCCCACATGCCCGTTTTGTGCGCGGAGAATGCATATGAGAAGGGTGGTGAAGTGATTGCCGACCGGTAGAATGATCGGATGTTTGGCTGCGAATACCAAGGAAGAGTTATCTAATCTCCCTCCCACGCGTAGCAACCCTTCGGCCGACATGGGGTTCAGTTTACGCAAAGCGCTCCGTTGGATCGCAGTCTATTTTGGGTTCATCCGTGCACTCTCTTTCAACGCCGTTGTTTCAAGGGGAAACGCTGCTATTGTACTAATTTCGCGACGTTGTTCTCGGCTCGCTTTATGTCATTCATCGATAAGGGTCCCACATGCAACGATTCGTCAGGCCTAGACCCGGTCATGATCATCACCATATGTTTAAACCTCCTCCACCAAGTAACGGAACGAATCAATTTGTCCCATGATGAGAAGCATTCTAGTTTCCTCAACAGGGGGAGGTGACGTTGCATTCCGCCGTCATTACCACTCTTTTGGCTTCGATCAACTCAACGGGTGCGGGGGGTGCAAGCACTTCACTCTCATTATTTGACACGGCAGTCAGAAATGACGGACCGTGGAGCCCATAGGGTATTTTGTCCAATGGTCTCAAGCCCCGGGAGCAGTGGTCGGCTGAGCTGTCTGCATATTTGACATATCGCCATTGGTGCACCTTGGTCTCTTCATGCATCACCGTCAGCCGATTGAAAACAAAGGTGCTAAACCTGGTGCTGACGTTGTTCACGTAGTTAAATACAATGGCGGAGTCGGTCCAGAACGTGACGCGTTCCTCGAAAATACACAAACACTGTCGCAGCTGCTTTTCTATGCGTACAGCTAGCACGACCGCGGTTAGATCGAGGAGGGGTATCAATACGCATTTCAATGGGACGACCCGTACCTTGGCAAAAAGGAGTGCTGTATTACGCTCGCCGTTCACATGCAGCCAGCATACGTAGGCTACTGGGCCGTATCCCGTCTCGGACGCGTCGGAGAAAAGGTGCAGCTCGGCCTTCGTCGCTTGACTGATTCGACTGAGTCGGCGTGGGATCATCATCTCACCCAGTCTGGTTAGGCTTATTAACCGTTGCTCTCAACCTGCCCGGTCTTGCTCGTCTAAGGGTTGATCACACCCGGACCGTTTTCGACACTGCTGTTGTAGGAGCTTCCCCGGCAACAGCCACGGCACGATGAATCCAAGCGGGTCATACAAACTGGAGACTGGGTAGGGTTCCTCTCAGGTAGTTCAAGTTGGAAGATGAATTCTTCCAACTCTGCGCTCGATCGTAGCCCCAAGATCTGCTGAATAAGGAGTAGCTGCGTGGTAAGTTTGACAGATCCACTCGCTCTGTCGGTTTCGGGAACACTGTCTAAAAATAAACGCAAAGTGGACAACCATTTGATTAGGCGAAATATCCGTTTTCCAGTCAGCTTTTTAGTTGCGCAACATGTTGCAAAGCTTCTCTTGCTGCATCAAAAGCACCCTCGAAGTCGTCAACATAGACGATATTCCCAACAATAGCTGACACCAAAGCGAGGAAATTGTTTCCGTGCTGGAAAGCTGTCCGTCGGAGTGTGTAGTTTGCGCAGAAAGGCGAGAAAACCGCTCGAAATAGATGAACGGTCACTCGGTAGTCTACTGCTGAGCTCGGTACGTCGCCTTCAGGCCACCACATTAGTCGCGGGGCGTCGCGGTGATCCCCTGGTGTCTTAAATTGGAGGAACATTTCCTGTATGTCGGCTGCACTGCAACTGCTCCTAGCCGGAATCAGTTGAGTACGTCGATCGAGGGAGTAGTCCAATGTGGTCCTTATAACAGACAATCAATAACGGAGAGACCGCCGTATCGCGCTGCACAATATAATGCCACGCGTATTTTCCCTGGCTTTCTAGGGCTTGTTGCCGGGTGGTGTGGCAAGTACCACAGTCGTTAACCGCGTGGTTGTGACACGACCACTCGTTCTGTATATCCCAGATGCTCCTTCCATTGCATCGCCGAGGTGAACTGTCGACATAGTCCTGTGTCCCTGACCAGTCGCCTTTTAAGGTACCCCAATCGTTTTAGGGCATATCCCGGCTTCCATGGTAACGGCACTTTGAACCCGTCGGGCTGATAGCGTGTCCCCGTTTCGACTTTAGCCAATGCCCGGTTATCTTCTACCGAAGGGGCTCTTTTCTGGTCGCTCAACTCGTCGAACTCATTATCGTACATCCGTTGTAAGGTTTGTTCGATCACATCGTCGCCAACGATGGTGTTGGTAAAGTTATTTGACAATGGTTTGCGGTTGGCCGAATGATGCGATCCAAATAATGTCCGTCCGAAAACGGTGCGAGCGGTGTAGGGTTCCTCCCTTCCGTCCAGTCTCTGGTCCAGCACCCAGTATGCTTCTGGCATGTCAGATCCTATCAGCAAATCGATTTTGGAAGAGTCGGCTTCTTCGAAATGTAAATCTCTCAGGTGTGTCCAGCGCGTTGCCGGTTCTCCGATCGATTTCACTGCTCGCATCGGCAATTCGGCTATGGTGAAAGCCTCCGTCATCTCTACGCGTTCACCACTATCTAGCGACATCAACGTCACGCTCGTTCGATCGGCGGAAGTAGTCTTGATACCGTTCACCGTGCTGATCGTCGAGGAAGATGGTTGGGTTGTGATATGGTTCTTTACGGCGAAATCCTTAGTGATTAGAGTGGTATCTAATCCATTGTCAATGAATGCCATCGCCTTCACTAACCACTTAGGAGTGAGTATACCAACTGATGTTACTTTGAGACGCACCTGCTTGCCCATTGATTGAGATAGAAAGCACGCTGGGCTTTCAGAGGTGCCAGTAACTGCGTTTCTCATGTAGAATGCAAGAGGGTATTTTGACTTCCTTGACACCCCTTTTCACGGCATCTGCCGCAGTTCCTACAAGTAGCCGCGCGATATAAGCCACTCAAACAGCTAAAGCACGCACCATGCCTCTNTTGGCTGCTTCCTAACTGTCCGGAACATCCAGTTGCACAAATTTCTCACATACGGATAGCTCGTGATTCCAACGGTATATAGGGCGTCTGGGTGCGCCACGTTCCCCTACAGTTGCATAGCTGTTTGCGCTTCTAGAGCTTCTAGGGACATCGAAGGATCGTTACTTGGCGTGGTGCCTCTCTTCTCGCCTNCGCCTATTCATGCTGGTGAGCTGTCCGAAGCAACTACTGGCGACCTTGGCACGGCTACGGATGAATTCCGTCAGCTCGGTGAAATTCAGTTTTCTCCCTAAAGGGCCGATAATCACCCCCTCCTCCGCCCATCGCTGTTGTATGTCAGCCGGCAGGCATTGTACTATAGCTCCTATGGTGTGTAGTGCACTCAAATCTCCTTCGTAACTCATTTGAGTCAGGACAATGAAGCAGTTTGCATCTTTAATACCAGTCGCACCAACGATTCGGGTTCGTTTCTCGCTTTACGGGCCTCGACTAGCCTCCCGTCTATGAGCATCCTTGCCACGTGAAACGGTTGGCCAAACATTTCCTTCAGGATGTCCCTTGTTCGGCTATAGCCGAGTTCGTTTGGTAGCATTACACGTTCTTCAATAGCGTTCCGGGCCTTCAAGCGGCAAAAATGGTTTAGGTACAGAAACTTCTGCCCTGGATCGGCGACTCGACACTCGACGAGATTATCAAATTCTCTAATGAAATAACCTCCAATAGTGTCTAGGGTTCCCGTCGAACGGCATTAGTTTCAACCTTACCAGGTCAATCGACGGGTGGCGGTGCATTACTTTGATCGGTCGTTGAGTCACTCCCGGTGTTAGTCTAATTGGCAGGGTTTTCTCGGTCGCGGCGTGTTTGGTCGAGCAAGGTTGTCTAGCCTCTGCTCCCCTAAGCTTCATTGACCTAATCTCCTGCTTTAACTCTACAATCTTACGGAGGTTTATGTCAGAAATCTTAACATAGACATCACAACATAGGGCAAATTAACTTCTAGCTCTAACGGGACTGACTGAACCATGAATGTGAAAATCACAAACTCCCGAATTCCCCTGTGACTTGCCCGGTTACGTCCTGTCCTACCTCGTCGATCCTTCCTTGTTTGAACGACATTCGATTGTTCCAAAGTGCACGAATATGATTACTGTGCCTTTCCAATACATCAACGAGTAACGCGTAGCCGAAATTGGATCCCAAACGTCAACAAATCAAACGATCCAGCACGTTTCTACGGTACTGCATGGATAAACGATCCAATAAGCAAATCAATCTGTAAAAAGCTCAAATTGATCTCAGAACAACTTCAAAACAACAACAAGTGTTACTGTGAGCGTAATTCAATAAATCTGAACGGAAGAAAATGAGTCTGGT